CTGAAGGATGGCCAAGCAGTGGCCCAGCAGTGGCCCATCAGGCATAGTGAGAACACCCAGTAGTCAAGGGTGATGAGAGTTGGGGTTCAAGCACATCTTGGGGGCCTTCATGACATTAGGAGCAGTTCAATAGCATAATGGAGTGCTTCAGAAGATGGTGGAGTCTCAATTATTGGACGTCTTAAAACAGAAAGATAGCTGTCATACGCTTTCACTGTGGATTGGATGTCTCAACAAAGAGGCAGACATAATGTGGGAGGTTCCAGCTTTACGGTGTGATGTTTGTAAGGTCTCCCCTCTTCCTATAATGCACCCTCCGAGCCACCTACCTGTGTCTTGAAATAATTCCAGTTCTAGTGGGCGTGTGAAGTAACATTGTCTTACTCAGTACCTTCCTGCTTTTAACTCCCTTTCTTGGGCAACCACTTTAAATGGAATACCAAGTGCAATAACCTTAATGTGACACACCTACCTTAGGCAAATGTTGAGGGAAATGTCCATGAGAGTACGGGTTGGGGAGTCATTCACTTAAGGTAATATGTCTGGCTTGGACCCAACAAGATAACACCTCTGTTCTTCTGGGCTTCAATTTTGCGGACATGTTGGTTTGGTTGTCACTTACAAGATTTTGCCTTGCTTTCTCCGGCTTTTCCTCTTCATTCTGACAGATGGTTTTCTCTTGAATGCCTCCAGTGTGGGGGCGATTATTATCTCCCAAGGTAATAGCTTCCATTGTCATACTGTTTTTCCTGACATTCAATTGAAATCCGTCTTGATGTAACTTGAGTCCGTTATTACATGCCCTGCACTCTGAGATGATTGAGAATAGATCGTACCCCTCCTCAGCATGGCTGTCTTTTAATTTATTTATTTATTTATTTATTTTGAAAAGTGCTATTGTATGTCTCCTCAAGTCTTCTTTTCTCAAAGCTAAACATGCCCAGTTCTTGCAACCTTTCCTCATAGGGCTTGATTTCCACTCTCCTGATCATCCTTGTTGCCCTCTTCTGAACATGTTCCAATTGGGTGACATTCTTCTTAAATTACCGCCTTGTTGCCCTCTTCTGAACTTGTTCCAACTGGGTGACATTCTTCTTAAATTGCTCTGTCCAGAACTGGCTATAATGTTCAAGATGAGTCCAAACCAGTGTCGAATAGAGGGGAACTGGTACTTCATGGGATTTAGAGACTATACTTCTGTTAATGCAGCCTAAAATAGTACATTATTTGCTTTTTTTGCATCACATCACACCTAATGCAGCCTAAAATAGTACAGTATTTGCTTTTTTTGCATCACATCACACTGTTGACTCATATTTGGCTTGTGATCTACAGCAAGATCCTTCTCACTCGTATTGCTGAGTCATGAAGCTGTGTGTTTGGGTTTCCCCCCCTTCATAAGTGCAGAACTTTGCTCTTATCCCTTTTACATTTCATTCTGTTCTTTTCAGCCCAGTGCTGAAGCCTATCAAGATCTTTTTGAATTTTGTTTCTGTCTTCCAGATTATTACCTATCCCACCCTGTTTGATGCCATTCGCAAATTTGATACCCATTTCCTGAACCCCCTCATCCAAGTCACTGATAAAAATGTTGACGAGCACCAGGCATAGAACTGAGTCTTGTGGTACAACATTTGTTACCTCCTCCTAGTTCTAGAAGGAACCCTTGAAAGGCACTCTTAGAGGACGATTCTCTAACCAACCGTGTATTTACCTGGCAGTCACTGTATCCAACACACACCTGATTAGCTTGCTAATCAGAATATAATGGAGTACTTCATCAAAAACTTTGCTGAAGTCAAGATAGATATTATGTCTATAGCATTCTCATCATCTGCCAGGTTACCTGATCAAAACATAAGATAAAATTAGTCTGGCAGGATTTGTTCATTCTTGGCAAATCCATGCTGGCTTCTAAATATCCCTGCATTGTTTGCAAGGTGCTTGCAGAGTGACTGCTTTATAATCTGCTCCAGAATTTTCCCTGGGATTAATGTCAGGGTGACTGGTCTGTAGTTCCCAGGTTCCCCCTTTTCACCCTTTCTGAAGATAGGGACAACATTAGCCCTCCTCCAAACATCCAGTACTTTACCCATCATCCATAATTTCAAGAAAATAATAGACACTGGTTCTTCAGCCAATTCTTCCAACACAGTTCATTGGGCTCCGGAGATCTGAACTTCTTCAAAGTAAGAAGGTTTTCCTTGACTGTTTGTTTATCAGTCACAAGAAGTAAGTCTGTCCCATCCACTTATGCTCACATTTGCCTGGAGGGTCATAGACTGTCTTTGGGAAGTAGGAATTGAGCACTTCTGCCTTTTCTTTGTTGTCTCTTACAATTTTCCTGTCCCCATTCAGTAGTTGGGCTATTTCTTTTTTCTTTTGCTAGGCATGTACCTGAAGAATCTGTGGGGGTTTTTTGTTGCTTTTATCTTACTAACCCTCAGCTCATTCTCAGCTTTTGCCCTCCTAATGCCATCTCTGCATTTCCTTACTACTTGTCTGTACTCATCCTTGGTGGCCTGGCCTTCTTTCCACTTCCTGTACAAGCCTTTTTTAGGGTTTTTTTAGGTCCTTTCTGAGCTTTATGTGAAGCCACACTGGCCATTTTGGTCGCCTCCCACTTTTTTTTTCTTGTTTGAATTGTTTGCATTCTGCCTTTATAATTAGAAACTCCCACCCACCTTGGACTCCCTTTTCCGTTAGGATCTCCTGCCATGGAACTTTACTTATCATTGGTCTGAGTTTATTAAAATGGGCTTTCCTAGAATCCAGCATATGTGTGTGGCTACCCTCTGCTTTTGTTTCCTTTGAAATCTAGAACTCAGGTCAATGGTCTGAGCACTTCTGCCTTTTCTTTGTTGTCTCTTACAATTTTCCTGTCCCCATTCAGTAGTTGGGCTATTTCTTTTTTCTTTTGCTAGGCATGTACCTGAAGAATCTGTGGGGGTTTTTTGTTGCTTTTAGCATCTCTTACTAACCTTAGCTCATTCTCAGCTTTTGCCTTCCTTATGCCATCCTTGCAATTCATTGCTACTTGTCTTTACCCTTCCTTTCTGTCCTGGCCTTTTGTTCACTTCTTGTATGTATCTTTTTTTTCCCAGATCCTCTCTGAGCTATTTGTGAAACCACGTTGGTCTTTTTTTGCTATCTTCCATCTTTTTTTTTCCTTGTTTGAATTGTTTGCATTCTGCCTTTATAATTAGAAACTCCCACCCATCTTAGACTCCTTTTTCCATTAGGATCACCTGCCATGGAACTTTACTTATCATTGGTCTGAGTTTATTAAAATGGGCTGTCCTAGAATCCAGCATATGTGTGTGGCTACCCTCTGCTTTTGCTTTCTTTGAAATCTAGAACTCAGGTCAATGGTCTAGCATGGGTTACCAGCACCTGGGGCAAGGCAAGTGTTGCAGGACACATGCTGGCTTTGGGATGCAATGCTTGGGTGGGGCAGGGGGCGGGGGTGAGGTGGGAGGAGCCCCTGGGGTGGTGCCATGCAGCAGAGCTGCTCACGGTCTCCACTGGGGGTGGCCTGGTGGCCTTGGCAGCTCGGATAAGGACTGCTGGGAGAAGTAAGAAGAGTGCAAGGAGCAGCTGTAGGAATGCACCAGGCAGGTCATCGCAAGTATCCCTAAGAATTTTGCACTGGGGTGATGGCCCTTGATTCCCCCCCCCAAACTATACCAAGTAGACTCAAGTAGAAGAGGGGCACTTTCCCCCAAGTTCTCCATGCTGCCACTTCTTCATCTCCACTGGGGAGTCAAAGATCGCTAACCCTCTCATTTCTTCCCCCACTTTTTAAAAGGAGAAAATTAGCTGTACTACTAGTAGCAGTAAGTAGCAGACTTTTGAGTTGACTTTTAAGTTGGGGAAAAGTGGTTTTTACATGTTATCTTGTTTGTAGTGTAGTAGTCTCAAATTCTCTAATTCCATCTCTGGCCTTAATATGGTAAATAGGAATGCCAATTAGATTTGCATAAGTCTGGGAGGCAGGAAGGTTTTAAGGGTCAGATTATACGTTTGCACTATTAAAGAGCAGGCCGGGTAGGTGGGGCTCGTCAGTCCTGGAAGGCAGCCCATCTAGGAGAAGGAAAACCCCGATTTCAAACCTCCACTGCCTTGTGGCTATATCCACTCATGAAAAGTGCTTCAGGAGTTAACCTAGAGGCAAAATCCGGAGCTGGAGTCCCGGAGGCAGTTTGTGTCATTCTGCCAACTCCTGCGACGTTGCTGGACCCAGTTGTATTGGCTCTTGCCTTTCCATTGGACCATTTCAGCAACACGGAGAGGGGGGATCTGCTGCTTGGGTAACAGCCTCTCCTCCATATAACTTTACCCAGGCTTCATGCTCTGAAGAGGGCACTCCTCGATTCAGAGCATGTTACCATAGTCTCTCTAGACTGAAGGATGCCTATCTATCTAGTAGAGATGGGTATGAACTGTGCAGTTCATCTTTTGGACAAACAGGTGTTCAGTGATTCCCAGCCCACCTCCTCTAGCAGGTGCCCACGGAAAGGCAGCACCCTGGCTTCTCTGCCCTGCCTCTTCCGGGCTCTGCTTCCGAGTGGGCACCCACCGGAAGAGGCAAGGGTGGGAACTGCTGAACACCTATTTGTCCGAAAAACAAACTGTTAATCCGGCGGTTTGTGCCCATCTCTAAACACCAGCCAGGAATTTCTTGGTCAGATTTTGCCTTCCAATGGATATCAGAATGATTAAAATCTCTTATGATGACTACATCATGTCTCTTTGAAATCCTTGCAATATGTTTTCAAAGGTTTCACCCATATATGTAGGGTTTCCATATATTGTCCAGTAGAGAAACTATTCTCAAAGCTGGACCTGCTCAGTTTCTGGATGGTTGCTGCTGTGTGCTTTTAACCCTTTTATCTCTTGCTGAAGAAAGAAATGACCCATCTCTGCAGCAGGGGTTAATACGGGGATGGTCGATATGTCATTTGCTACTTGAATCTCTCAACCTTCATTGTGTCCTATAGGAATCATCAACCTCCCATATGCTGAAATAGAAGAGCCCTTCGAAGCCTGGTACAACCATACGGGAAACAAGAGTCGCATTGAGTACTATGACGGTAAGAAACAAGTGTGTCTCACAGGAGAAAGGGTGAAGGTGCAGACAGATAAGTTATTTCTCAATCTTTGGCCCTCCAATATTGGATATCATCTCCCTGTTCTCTGGCCAGCATCGCTCAAAGTCAGGGAGGCTGTGAGTTGCAATTCCGGGATGCCAAACATTGAGAACTACTAGTCACGCTGGAAGCAGGGAAGGTGGGAAGGCAGCAAAAAATTAAGGAAACCTGTATGCAAAACTTAATTTTAAAGGAAGGGCTTAACCAGGGCTAAAAATGCCTCCCCTTGGAAGGGATGTTCATCTCTTGGGAAAGGAGGTATTTGAGATTTTTGAGGGGTTTGGACACATTTCTTTTCTTGCAGGAGATTACGGGGCTTACTATGTCTGAAATGAGACAGCAGGGGGAGGTGTGGTTGTGGTAAGCTCTTCCACACATACCCCGAACAATTCCTCCAAGCCTCCAAAGTCACAAAAATTTACCAGGGCAAGTTTTTACCACATACACCCCCGCACACACACACACTGAACGAATCCTCCCGATTTAGGCCCAACACCACTTCATTCATCTTGCTTAACATTGCCTGTTCCATCTTCCCTCAACGTGATGCCGTTTTTTGCACTAAACCGTTCCCAAACTAGGACTATGGAAGTTGTAGTCCATCCTGTCGTGAGCGTGCCTGGTTCTGGAAGGTCACTCTATCAAACCCGTACGATTCTTCTCCATCACCAACTAATGGATTATTTTAAACGGAAATGCTAAAGCTTGCACCAGAAACTTCTGCCTAAGAAGAAATTGGTTGACCGCTGTCTCTCCCCACTCCTTACTATTTACCTCATCAGTTTTTCTCTCTGCCATTCTTCAGGCCAGGTGGTGACCTTACAGCTAGGAAGTGTGGAGCCATACGGCACCATGTTCAAGATAACACCGGCAACCACAGAGAAAGTGGTGAATACCAAGAAGTGCTTCCAACTGAATGGCACCAAAGACGATCATGTAAAGCCACAGGGAGTCTTTCCTGACACGAAGGGCTTCAAGGTAACCTTGTGATAGGAAATGGATGAGGAGAACTGGCTGCCTAGGAGCCAGAGGTGGGCTTGTACTCAGAAGGCCTCTCTCTGTGGCCTCTTGGGGTTGTGCCAGGCTTCAAAGGGCTCTTCACAAGAAGAGATCATCTGGCAGCTTGGCTGGCCCTTTCCTTCATGGCTTTCAGTCAATTCCCATTTGTAGCGCATCTACTCTGGCCAGGTGTTCTTACAAGAACTCAAGGCTTGCTTCAACCAGCTTTGAGAATAATGAAAAACTGATGTTCAGAGAGACATTTGTCACAGAAGGAACATATTTGATGACACAGTGTCATTTTGCCTACACCAGACTACTCCTCTATATAAGATCTTGGGCCTTCCGGTGTTGTTGACCTCCTCTCCCAGAAACTTCAGCCAGCATAGCAAAAATGTTGAGATTCCAACAATTGCAGTCCAGCAAAATCTGGGCATCCAAGGCCGAGACCTATTGCTCTCTTTTTGCTCCTCTAATGAGAGCATTTGTCAAACGGGAGGGCAATGTAAAACACCAGTGCCTCATCACTTCCAACTATACAGGTTGTAAGTCACTCTCTACCACGGGGGAAAGTGAGGCAGATGCCACAACAGATACTGAAAGATAGCCAGAGGAAGTGTGTTGAAGGGTGCATTATGTAGCCGACTCTGATCTCTCTAGACTACTTTAGGCGCAGTGAAGGATGGGGCCCCCACTATCAATATAGCATAAAAATTCAGCTGCAAGAACTATGGCCTTTTATACGAATGCAAAAAGAGGGACGCCATCTCGTTCTGTACCTAAGGTATTAAAACAATGGGCTGATCCCAGCTTGTTGAATCATTAGGTAAAGAAGGTGCAGTGTCTAAATGTGTAACAGTGGGGCTTGTCTGCAATCCGCATCTACTGGACCTCTAACATAATATTCCCATTAAGTAGATGGCTATCTAGTTGGTAGGTCATCTGCAAGAGGCCGGGAGGGAGAGCATGCAAGGGAAATTGAACCTTCTCTTGGCTGATTGGTGAAGGCTTGCTGTCACTTGTTCTTCACTCCTCTTGAGTGCAAAGTTCCAAGGTTGGTGCCCTGTATGTGGATAAATTACTCTTTTGAAATGCACCTCCCAGAATCCTTCATCCTACACTGTCTTGGGTTTATAGGAGCTTATAGGAGCTTGGGTTTATAGCAGCTTTAATCCAACACATTTGGAAGGTCCAGAAGGAAGGCTGAAGTAGACCCTGGTACTTTTTGATGGATGAGTAGTTTAATAGTGTTAGATGGACAGATGGTTACACCATTGTTCTTATGTTCATGGCTGCGTTTTTCACTTTCTTCCCAGCCCATCAGGGAAGAGTACTATAAAGGCCAATACTGCACTGTCTGGCAGAATGTCTCTTACTGGGGCCACAGGAAGAATACCTACACCTTGTGGGTAACAAATACCAGCTGTGGCGTGTCTCCTGTGCACTACGAGATGAAGGGCTACAACACTCTGCTGGGTTCCCATTACGACAAGTATGAAATAGATTACAGCGACTTTTCCAACAGCTTCCCAGCTTCTGTTTTCATCCTGAAGCAGAACGGTGAGTACCAGATAATTCTGTAACTTAAGGGCCACTATGCTAGATCAGGCCAGATGGCTATCTAGGCTAGCATTATGTTCCCACAGCAGCCAACTCAAACTCAGAAAGCACAACAGCAGAATCTAGCTAATTCTCTCCAGCAACTGCTGTTGAAAGGCATGTGTAATCAATCATGACCTACAGCCATTGAATTGACAATCTGCTTTAAAACTAGAATTGATGCTACATCTTGTGGCATTAAGTTCAGATATGCACTGTGTCAAAAAGTACTCTTTCATCTGTTCTGGATCTCCCACTGGTCACTTTGAAATCAGTTTGGAAGAAATACTTTTGAAGTACAACTTCCCGAATTACTGTCCTGTCCTTTGCTCTGGTCAGAGTAGACAACTTATACCCCGTTTAGCTTGCTTAATAATGTCAAATTGTAGGTTCTCATCTTCTGCAGAATAAAAGAACACATCCTTTTTTATGTGCCAACTGTATCTAAGTCATTTGAAGTTTTAAAAACCCAGATTATTGAGTTTAAAGTTGATACGTAAAATCAATGCGATGTTTCCAAGATCAGATTTTGGAAGAATAATCTCTTTTTGTTTGAACAACTAAAATAAGTTTGTCAGAGATGAAAGCATGTTGAACACATTTGTTAGTATAGGTTGCAAATGTGATATATTGTTTGTTTTTCTAGCAATTCTTTATCCAACAGCTCTGAGCCTTTGGTCTGTCTGCTGCTTTTCACTTCATTCTAAGAAAACCCAGCCAGTACAGCCGTGAATTGGAATTAGGGGGTGTAATCTAGAACATCTAGGGAGCAAATATTTTCCCACCTTTTCTCTAAATCAGGACTGTCCCACATGGGCCCAAATATGACCACCCAGCATTCCCACTCCCCCCCCCAAATTTGAAAAGGCTAAAAAATTCCTTTACAGAATTTGGTGGGCAATTTTGTCATGTTTTAAGGGACCCTAGCACCTCTGCCCCCCACTAAAACATTTGAAAAAATAGCCACAAGAAGGTGTAAAGAAAGGGGGAGGAATTGTGAAAGCTGAAGATCCTGGGGCCTCTTCAAGGGTATCCCCATGTAGAACATAGTTGTCAAGCGTGTTGACTGTTGCTAAGTTGACTCAGAAAAGGTTGTAGCTGGTGCACTAAGTGGAACGTGCAAAGGCACTCCTTGCCACTGGGACCACCTGGGACTTGGGACAGCACAGAGTAAAGAAGCGCTCAGATGATGAACCGGACCTGACAGGGGGGGCGCAGTCCCTTCTGGAACAGGGATTCCCAGCTCCTGAATCTGACTTTCTGCTAACTAGCAACACCTCCATCTTGTCAGGATTTAGTTTCAGATTGTTGACCCTCATCTGGCTCATTATCAAGCCCAGTCAATGCTTAAAGGTCTTGATTGCTGTTTCAGTGTTGGAGGAGAGGGAGCAGTAAATCTGGGTCTCATCAGATACTGGTGGCATCTCGCTCCTAAATTCCGAATGACATCTCCCAGTGGCTTCATATGGACATTAAATCATCATAATAAATGTTTTATAATGTTATTACGGTCATTGACCAGCAAAAATAAGCAACATTATTTAAATTAGGAAACATAAAACCAATCTAAAAGCACTAAAAGCATCTATATACATATATATAACTACATTCATATATCTTATTAGATACCTCCTGCCTCCCTGTCATATGCCTTGTCTATGCTATTGCAGCTTGCATAAAACGACAGAATTGTTACTTAGAAGTTCATAAAGCCAGTAGGATCATGAAGGCCTCTATGTGTATACACCAATTTACAGATACTATAGCTGTGCTTTCCTTCATGGATTTCCATTGCAGCAGCACAGAATTCGGCTGCTTTGGTCAACATACAGTGGTGCCTCGCTTAACGACGATAATTGTGATCACAAAAAGATCATCGTAAAGCAGATTCGTCGTAATGCGGGGCAATCATAAAGCGAGGCACCACTGTATCTGAATTTCGGTTTAGCCCAGTATATCTGCCAGGGCATCGCCCTGTCAGCAAGAGCACATTAAATAATAAGGTGGAGTCAGGTGGGATTTCAAAGGCCATGGTGTTGAACCATCTTTTACATATAGCCTGGCAGGAAGGGTTACATAGAAACTACTGCAACAAAGCCCCCAATACCCAGCATTTCCAGACAGTCCATCAGGATACCGTGGTCCTGTAGCTGGATGCCTCGGAAGAGACCAGGAGATCTAATAAGGTTGCATTTCCCTTCTCCAGTCCCCCAAGGTAGGTTCCCAATTAATTTTACCAAGCTGTGGTTTATTTGACCAAAGCAATCTGAGTCCCATGCTATTGAAAACCCAACTGAAATTGGTCCAGACAATCGGCCATGAATGCCTTGAGTTATAGGGTTACCACCCTCTCAATCATCTTAGCTAAAAATGGTAGACTTGAGACTAGTCTTTAATTAACCAAAACATGGGGTCAAAAATGGGTTTCCTTATGAAAGGTTTTAGGCTTCAGTAGGAAAGTTGGAAACTGCATAGCCTGCCTTTGCGAGGCCCCTCACTGTTTTCCTCCTCGTACATGACATGTCAACAGGGGATATTGTGCCGTTACCTTTGCAAGCCAAGTGGACTTGAAAGGGGCATCCTATAATATGATTGGACCATGCATTGGCCCAAGCATTCTTGTGAAAGGCCCTGAGCACAACCTCCACGTGGCGCTCTTGCACAACTCACCGGGAAGTAGATTGTACTGTATGATTTATGAAACTCTCCGCCTTTCACTGGTTTTCCTGGTTCCGTGTGCCCTGCCTTCCTTTGTGCAGCCTACAATGATTATGAGTTTTGAAACGTCTGTTGTGCAGAGTCAGAATACCGATACCTAAATGTGAAGCTGCATCAGCGTTTGGAAAGTGTGTGGGATTCTCAGGCAACCATTACGATCCTGTTCTGGGAGTTGTTCTCCAAAAAGTATCTTTTCCCATTTCTGATCCATGGGTAGTTTCCAGGAAGAGTTCAGATGCAGTGAGTCAGTCTGCAGAGGGAAGGGATTATTTGCCTTATTTAGCAACCTCCACTGTGGGGGCCACCAGGAAGAGAGCATCAGTTGAAGGAAACTCAAGGGAAGATCCAGGAAGGAATACGTCTTTAGGGGCTGCCCTGTGATGTTTTGCTGCCTGATGTGAAAGGCAACATGGCACTCCTCCTCATATTCCATGTAGAAAAACTGTCGGGAATAGCTATTGGGGAGGGGGGTTTCAGCCTTACTTGAACATAGATAATGGTCAGGAATGTTGGCAAGTCTTTGGGTCTGAGTCCCAAGTCCAAGTCTGAGTTTTTGGTCCCAAGTCCAAGTCTTTGGTCCCAAGTCCAAGTCTTTGGTTCCACGTCCAAGTCTTTGGTCCCAAGTCCAAGTCTTTGGTTCCACGTCCAAGTCTTTGGTCCCAAGTCCAAGTCTTTGGTTCCACGTCCAAGTCTTTGGTCCCAAGTCCAAGTCTTTGGTTCCACGTCCAAGTCTTTGGTCCCAAGTCCAAGTCTTTGGTTCCACGTCCAAGTCTTTGGTCCCAAGTCCAAGTCTTTGGTTCCACGTCCAAGTCTTTGGTCCCAAGTCCAAGTCTTTGGTTCCACGTCCAAGTCTTTGGTCCCAAGTCCAAGTCTTTGGTTCCACGTCCAAGTCTTTGGTCCCAAGTCCAAGTCTTTGGTTCCACGTCCAAGTCTTTGGTCCCAAGTCCAAGTCTTTGGTTCCACGTCCAAGTCTTTGGTCCCAAGTCCACGTCTTGAGTCTTTGGTCCCAATATCCAAGTCTTTGGTCCCAAGTCCAAGTCTTTGGTCCCAAGTCCAAGTCTTTGGTCCCAAGTCCCAAGTCCAAGTCTTTGGTTCCAAGTCCCAAGTCTGAGTCTTTGGTCCCAAGTCCCAAGTCCCAAGCCCCCAAGTCTGAGTTTCTATTAAAAACAAGATCTTTCCCCCCAGAAAAAAAAGGCAGTGCAGAGGTAGGTTCTAAGTTCTGAATTAAGTCTGTCATTTAGAAAAACTTGAGTCAAGTCACCAGTGTGACTTAAGTCCAACTTGACAGCAAGTCCTGCGACTCGGGTCCCCATTCCTGAGGATGGGATCAGCAGCCTCCAGTATACCTGTAAGTAGTTTTAGGCAACTAGTTTAAATTTTTGGTCCTCCAGACATCTTGGGAAACAGTTTCCAGGATTGCTAACTTAGTGGCCCTGCTGGCTGGAGCTTCTATGAGTTCAAGTCCAGAATATCTTGAGGACCAATAGGTGGGGACTTCTTAGTTAAGAGGGAGGTGGGTAAATTGTAGTCTGTGGGGTACATATGGACTCTGGAACTCCCTCCCACAGGAGGCCAGGTTGGCCCCATCTTTGCTGTCCTTCCACAAGCAGGCAAAGCCCTCCCTCAGTAACTAGCTACCTGTGTGCGATTTTTAGATGGATTATTATGTATTACTGCTTTGACTGGATTTTTAGTACTACTCGTGTTTTCCATTTCTCAGAGTGGTATTTGTTTGCTCCTTTAGCTTTTTGCATACGTACTGTTTCAGATGCAATATTGCCTTGTCTCAGAGTGGTATTTGTTTGCTCCTTTAGCTTTTTGCATACGTACTGTTTTCGATGCAATATTGCCTTTTAATGATGTGAGCTGCCTCTTAATACACATTGTTCTTAGTTTTAAATATTGCCTTTTAATGATGTTAACCATCGTTGTATACTCATTGCTTTGATTGATGGATTGATGGATTGATGGATTGATGGATTGATGGATTGATGGATTGATGGATTGATGGATTGATGGATTGATGGATTGATTGATTGATTGATTAATTAATTAATTAATTAATTAATTAATTAATTAATTAATTAATTAATAACCTCTGTCCTTTTAATACTCCATTAATCCTCTCATTCGTTCCCTACCTTAATAACTGCTGCCAGGCCAGGCTGTGGTCCACCTTGATAGCGTTCAGTATTCCTTGCTCCCAGTTTGTTCAATAGATGTTAAGGCTCTTTGTGACTTTCATTTGCATGACTTTTTCTCCCTAGAAACCAAGCTATGTGAGGAATTACCAGGTGACTCCGCAGAACATCACGTCATGGCAAATCCTATGGCAGATTTTGTTGGGGGACAAGACGATCGGGCTCACCGCGTATTCCACCATTACAGAAAAAAATTTGGAAAGTCATACAATGACGAGAAGGAAATGGAACACAGAAAGCACACCTTCACCCACAACATGAGGTGCGGGGATCTTCACGCTGGGAACAGGAAAAAGATGGGAATTTGGGTGGTAAAGGCTGAATGAAGGGAGAAATCTCATGGCGCAGTGGTTTAACTGCTGTACTGCAGCCAAAACTGTGCTCACGACCTGGGGTTCAATCCCAGGTAGACGGCTCAAGGTTCACTCAGCCTTCTATCCTTCCGAGGTCGGTAAAATGAGTACCTAGCAATGTGTAGCCTGCATAATAAACTTGTAACCCATCAGAGAGTGCTTTAAGCGCTATTTTATTTATTTATTTAATTTACAGCTATGGGGCTGTATATAAGCATCATGCTTTACTTTGCTTTGAATAAAAGAAAGAAATGGCAGAAGAAATTACGGGTTCTTCCTCCATAATATTGGACACATATATTCAGTTCTTGTTGCTTAGGAGATGGGTCTGCTCTGCAGATGTTTAGGTACAAGCCTTTATCCTATTAAAAGGTAAAGATTCCCCCTGACATTTTTAGTTTAGTTGTGTCTGATTCTAGGGAGCGGTGGTCATCTCGTTTTCAAGCCGTAGAGCCAGGGCTTGTCCAAAGACAGTTTCCATTGTCACGTGGCCAGCATGACTAGGGAACGCCGTTTTACCTTCCCACCATGGTGGCACCTATTTATCTACAGCACTTGCACTTGCATGCTTTCAAACTGCTAGGTTGGCGAGGAGCTGGGATAAGTGACGGGAGCTCACTCCGTTGCGTGGATTCGATCTTACGACTGCTAGTCTTCTGACCTTGCAGCACAGAGGCTTCTGCAGTTTAGCCCACAGCTCAGCCTGACCAATTTAGCCCAGGTTCTAGGTTGAAGAGTAGGATCTTTGGACGTACTCCCAGAAGCTGCTGCTAACATGGCCAATGGTGAAAGATTATGGTTGTAGTTGTCCAAAATATTTGGAGGGCCAAGGATTTTCCACCCCTGTTCTTCACCAGAGTTAAACCCTAGGTTGTTTGCTCCATGCTGCTCTGTAACCACTCCGCTTGGCTGCTTTCCCATATCACCAACGGAGCTCAAAGCATTATGTTTCATAGCAGCCTTTGTTATTTAATCCTTCTGTGTTCTTCCCTTCTGTAGTGATTATCAGGTTGGTTTAAGAAGATAAAATATATAATCATAATATAATAAAATAGGTCAATCAAAGCAATTGAATAAACACGGCATAATGCAAATAATAAAACCGACACTAAAATGTTATTGCGTCCCAAAAACCTATAGAAATGTAAAGATCATTGCTTGGCACTGAATAGACAGGAACACAGGCACCAGCAACCCACAGAGCCCTAGATGTCAGTAGATGGCAGCACAAAGTTGGTCCCACGTATCCTGATATTATTCACCTAACTTTGGCTCAACCAGCGAAGCACCAAAAGGCCTTTGAGAGAGATTGCTTCACTGCAGGTTCTTACATCACAAACAGCTGCAGAAGTATGCAACATGTTTCACTTAGAAAGCAAGGAACGCTGCCTCTGTGTCACTTTGCCCCATCATTCTGCTTCTTCTGGCACGGAAATCTTTGACTATTTAAATAAGAATGGGTTAGGATCAAAATGTGAAAGTTACTTTGTTTTTTGGACTGCAGTTCCTTAAATTCCCTAGGTAGCCAAGCGATTACTACTTCCTGGGATTTTGTAGTCCACAAATAATGTCTCCATGCTCTGGCAAGGACCACAGTCCAGAGTTGGGTCTCTGTCCAACTCTTCTTACTACAGCAGTCTTCTTTTTTTATATATACTAGATTTGTCCACTCTAAGAACCGGGCCAACCTCCCTTTCAAGCTGGCCCTGAACCACTTGGCTGACCTCACCCAAGAGGAGATAGCAGTGATGAGGGGGAAGCTCAAGAGCACAACCCCCAACAAGGGGCTCCCGTTCCCTGAAGAGCTGTACGTGGGTCTCATTTTGCCAGAGAGTTTGGACTGGCGTCTCTACGGTGAGTGGCACTCGTTCAGCGACAAGCGGGCAGTCGTTTCTCGCCTTTGTCAGACCTTGAGTGAATCCTCTTTTTTTGGATCAGGTGGCTCTGTAGCCCGTTCACTAGTCTAGTCACATACTGACAAGTGTTACATTGAGCAGGGGGTGGGACTTGATGGCCTTATAGGCCCCCTTCCAACTCAATTATTCCACAGTTCTATGGTTAACAGCCAAGAGAAGGCAACACACAGTCCGTCCATGACATAAGCCCCTGACCTGGTTTTATAGCTAAGGGCTAGCTTTATATAAACCCTGCAGTTTTGCTCTGAAATTGGGGGTCATCCACGCTGCCCCCCAAATGTCATCAAATGTCAGTTCCTAAGATGCCAAACCTTTGGCCATGCCAGCTGGCACTTTGGGAGCTGAAGACCAGCAGTCCCTGGGAGACCAGGCTTGCAAGGTTTTGTCTCCTCTGCAAATTAATTTTAACACAAACCGCATTGTGGTTGCTTTGGCTAGGGGCTGTACTACAAGTGTCACACAACTACCTCTCTTTGTTCCTTTCAGGTGCAGTGACTCCAGTCAAGGACCAAGCTGTTTGTGGTTCCTGTTGGAGCTTTTCTAGTACGGGAGCGCTAGAAGGGGCTCTCTTCCTCAAGGTAACCACAACATGTTCACATTTCAAAGGGAAAGTTCCTTTTGATTAATTTAGAAAGTGTTGGGAAACAAACACAGTTGCTCTGATCCCCTGCTCTTCATAGTTCAGGGAACCACTGATTCTCTGTGGAAACCAAGTCCAGTGAGGAAAGAACAGGGCATGTTTTGCCTTGAGAAAGAAGGCTGAAGAGAAAGAAGTGATAGCACTTTTCATACACTTGAAAGGCAGTAATACAGAGGCGGCGCAGGATCTGTTCTCGATCATCCCATAATCATGGGCTCAAGCTACAGGAAGTCAATACAGAACATCAGGAAAAACTTCTCAACTGTTAGAGCAGTATGACAATGGAATCAATAACCCTGAGAGGTGGTGAGTGCTGGAGAAAATTGGACAACCATCTGTTGGATCTGCTTTGATTTGGATTCCTGCATTGAGCAGGGGGTTGGACGATGGCCTTATAGGCCCGTTCCAACTCAGTTATTCTATGATTTTATGCTTCTGTCAGTGTTTGGCGGAGATATATATATATTTTTTGGACTACAGATTCCATAATATCCAGCCACAGGCTCTGTTGGCTGAGGGATTCTGCTCATTGTAGTCCAAAAAAAGGTAATTTTTCAGTGTTTCCTACTTTGTATTAACAGCATGCAGCACATGTGGGTTGAGAGGTTCTCTAGCAACTTCTCAAGAACTTACCTTTGCTTGCAAGAATTCTAATTTATATCTTCCTCCTAGTTCTCATCATTTCAACACTCCTCCTTAGGGACAGGATTGCATTTAGCACAGTTCTGTTCCATTGTTCATGGAGCTCAGGACAAGATGCATGGAATTTCTAGGCCATCTCTCCTCCACAAAGGTGTGTAGAGGCAGTGTGGCATTGTGGTGAAAGTGCTGGACTAGGACTTGGGAGACCCAGATCCTACTCCCCACTGAGCTAATGAAGGCAACTTTGAGCAGTCAAAGCCTCTCAGACTGACCTACTTCACAGGATGGGTTCTGAGGATCAAAGATGTAGGAGGAGAGCTCACAGGATGGGTTCTGAGGATCAAAGATGGAGGTGGAGAGCCTTGAAGTAATTGGAGAAAAGAGTGGAATGTAAATGGAAATGTTGAATGAGTAATTTTTTAAAAACCCAATCAACGAGGGGCTCTGGGCCATCGCTGGAGCACCACTGTAATTGGAGAAAAGAGTGGAATGTAAATAGAAATGTTGAATGAGTAATAAAAAAAAACAATAATATTGAGACCTGTTTCCCTTGGAGCATATAACCTTTGCTATATTTTAAACAGGAGTGCAATGTTTTTAAAGTCTTTCTCATGTGTGCTGTTCCTGGTGCTTCCACTCTAGTTTTATATGGATACACACATGCAGCTAAGCGTGACCTTCTTACTCTCCTCTCTTTTGCTTCCTCAGACTGGGCAACTTATGCCGTTGTCTCAACAAATCCTAATTGACTGCTCCTGGGGCTTTGGCAACTATGCCTGCGATGGAGGTGAGGAATGGCAGGCGTTTGAGTGGGTCCTGAAGCACGGCGGCATTGCCACCACAGATTCCTACGGACCGTACAAAGGCCAAGTGAGTATCAGGAACTTACCTTTTGAGTAACGATGCCTTTGTGAGGACATTCGAGATCTGCTCTGGAAGGGGAGGTGCCCATTGGCAGATCGTGGTCTATGTTAGCATTTGGGTGAGTGCAAGCAGCCAAAAGCTCTTTATGATATGGGGGACATGGGCTTCTCCTCTGCGTTCTGTGTCACAATCTGTATTTCACCTGTCCTGGCCTGCTGGCAGTGGCTGTCTGTCTGCTTCTGGACCAAGTTCAAGGTGAGGTGCTCATGTTCACACATAAAGTCCTCAAAGGTTTAGGGTCTCGCTTCCTGAGTGTCTCTCCCTCCGAATGTCCACCCATCCCATCCACACCTCATATATTGGGATGCTACAAGTCGCAACCCCAAAGGAGGCCCAGAAATTGGTCACCCATCTGAAGGGCAGTTAGCCCCGTCCCGTGTTAGTTTTAGAAGACAGATAAAAACCTGGCTGTTTTCACAAGCTTTTCCTGGCCTTACCCCAGACTAATCCTGTTACTTGTAATCTGGTTTTTCTTTCTCTCCCTCTTGTGCCTGTAAACATTTAGTATTAGTGATCCTCATTTTTAGAGATTATATTTTTGTACGATTTTAATGTTAATTTTATTATTGCTTCTGTATGTTTGCATTATGCCTTTTGTACGTCATCCAGAGTAATGGCCTGCATGGGCAGGATAAAACAGTGAGTGAGTGAGTGAGTGAGTGAGTGAGTGAGTGAGTGAGTGAGTGAGTGAGTGAGTGAGTGAGTGAGTGAGTGAGTGAGTGAGTGAGTGAGTGAGTGAGTGAGTGAGTGAGTGAGTGAGTGAGTGAGTGAGTGAGTGAGTGAGTGAGTGAGTGAGTGAGTGGATCGATGGATCGATGGATCGATGGATTCTACTAACAACTCCAGAAATCTTAGGCAATTCTTCCCTAACCTGCTGTGCAAATGTGTTAGAGTTTAGCTTCTGTTGTCTCCCTGCACTTCAGATATCTTGGACTACAGCTACCATAGCTGGCTGGGAACAGTGGTACAGCATATTTGAGGGGAGCCAAGTTTGGGGAAAGTGGTTTAGGACTGTTCTGAATAATGTCGGCAATTGATGAAATGGGGAGCAGAATCTAGGAATTTCCTTTCATTAACCCTTTTCTCCCTCTCTTTCTTTCTGCGGTTATCAGAATGGCTATTGTCACAGCAACGAAACTCATCTTGTCGGCAAACTCTCAGGTTACGTGAACGTTACCTCTGGGAACATCACAGCACTGAAGGCCGCCATCTACAAGCATGGGCCCGTGTCTGTCAGCATTGATGCCGCTCACAGAACCTTCTCTTTCTATTCCAATGGGGTTTACTATGAGCCCAAGTGTGGTGAGTTTCAATATATGATTTTCATGTGGGGAAGATGTAAACGGGTTAATCATAAAATAAAAGGGTGGCCTTTGTACTGTCAGAACAGCCACAGGTTGCCCACACTTGCTGTACGTCATGATGCATTTTCTGGAATGCAATTGAACATAATTTTGAGTATGTAACATCAGGATTTCACTTATAAGTAGACCTGTTTGGCAGGTAGATGCTGCAGGTGTACCTTATGCACAATCACCTGTGAGTAAGGCTCATTAAAGATAGTTGTAGCTCCTTCTAAGTTGCGTCTACTGTATAGCAGTGGTCCCCAACCTTGGGCCTCCAGATGTTCTTGGACTACAACTCCCAGAAGCCTTCACCACCACCTCTGGTAGCCAGGATTTCTGGGAGTTGAAGTCCAAGAACATCTGGAGGCCCAAGGTTGGGGACCACTGCTGTATAGGATTCTTCTAGACACGGGCACTTTGTAGTTGTATCCTGGGGAAACAAATTGGAACTACAACACCACAGGTGCCACCACGGCCCAACTCCCTCCCCCAGAAACAGCCAGGTCCACTCACCTGGCTCCACACGGCACAGCGCTCCTCTGTCGTCATCGTTACGCCAATCCCGGCAGGAGCTCAACTGGCGCTTCCCCACACAACCGAGTGTGTGGGGAGACTCCCCGCCCAGCTGAGTGGGGAGACTCCCCACCCAGCCTCTGCGCCTCAGCGGTCAGCAACGCAGGGAGGCAAGGAACTGCCGACTGGACCCCTGCTAGCATTGGCACAATGACAATGGAGGAGCACCATGCCCAGTGAGTGGACCTGGCTGGTTGGGGTTGGAGGGAGAGGAATTAGGCCGTCTTGGCTTCTGTGGTGCCGTGGTTCGTATCCTGAGGATACAAAGTGCCCATGTCTAGATTCTTCCATCAGTTTGCCCTTTATACATTCAGTTGGACACTGGTGCAAGAGCCTACTCAGTAGAACAGGGGTGGAGAACCTTTGACTCTTCAGACAGTTTAACTACCATTCCCATAATCGCATATCATGGGCTCTGCCAACTAAGGTCATCATTTCACTTCCAGGAAGGACCAAAGTCCCTTTGCAGCATCTTTGAGTGTTTCCTGTGACACAAGCCCTGGTGGAGTTTTAAAAGGTGTTCATTGGGGCCATTTTTAAACCTCACCAGGGATTCCCTCCTAGCTGGTCAGTGGCAGGTCCTTAGAGCAGTGGTCCCCAACCTTGGGCCTCCAGATGTTCTTGGACTACAACTCCCAGAAGCCTTCACACCACCTCTGCTGGCCAGGATTTCTGGGAGTTGAAGTCCAAGAACTACCATGGATATGTTCTTGTTTTCGTTGTATAGTGTATTGGGATTTCTGAGAACCAAACCTGAATCTTGAGAGAGAGAAAGCAAGGAAAAATATTTTTTAAGAAATACTTGGAAAAGTTAATTCTTCCAGAATCTTCTAGCCAGCATGGCCAATGGGAGTTTCCATCCAAAAAATAGGAACTTTTCAAAGCTCTGGAAATAGTACGTAGGAGAATATATGTGGGACATACAGATACCACATAGCCATCATAACCAGTTTGAGTCCGTACCTTACTTTGTCCTGAATTCATTGCTAGCCAATTTCATTGGGTAACTCACTGACTTATATATTAGTTACATTTTCCTTCAAAGCACTCAATACAGTAGACATAGCTCTTTGTCCTTGAAAAAAAACCTGTGAGGATAGTTCAAGCTGAGCAAGAGCATAATGAGCTCAAGATCACCCAGTGAATTTCATGGCTGAGAGGTGGACTCATATCTGGATCTTCTAAATCCCAATTCCATGTTCTCCCCAGTATTGTACAAATGAGGGAAAACAATATCCCCTTTTTCAAGAGGGCAACTGCATTTATGAAGCTTTGAACCCACAAATTTCAGAAATACAGTCAGATGCCTTACCACTTTGTACACAATCATCAGCCTTGTTAACTCTCCTTTTCTCCTTCTAGGAAACAAGAAAGGCGAGTTGGATCATGCAGTCCTGGCAGTAGGTTACGGCGTCCTCCAAGGAGAACTTTACTGGCTTATTAAGAACTCCTGGTCCACCTATTGGGGTAATGATGGCTACATCCTTATGTCCATGAAGGACAACAACTGTGGAGTAGCTACCGATGCCACCTTCCCACTTATGGCATAACTGGACAAACCACGTCAAGCCACCTCAAAAGATGATCCAGTCCGTTATGTTTTTTCTCCCCCAATGAATCAAGATCCCCCATCACTTAAACATCTCGAAAATGTTCAGTAATATACTAGAACCATAATTGTGAAAATGGAAGAAGACTCAATTATTTTTTTTAAAAAAATGAATTACTGTTCTTTCTTTGTACCAGCTAAGTTTCACTATAAGCCATGTCATAAAGGCTTTCTGCCTGGAAAACTAGACTCTAAGTAGCTGAATTAGGTCCTTTATGAAGTCAATTCCTCTTGCAGGTAGCCTGCTGTTGGAATAACCTCCTTTCTTCCTTCTACAACTTCAAGTTCCAGTCTTCAAAACATGGGGAGTAAGCCCTTGATTGATGAATTTTGCGGGGCCCCCCCCCTGCATTTTCTTTGCAAAACATGGAGGGGGAATGTTGTTTTTTGCAGCGAAAAAGTAGGGAGAAAACAGAAATCATTTCCCGCCTGCATTTTCTTTGCAAAACGTGGAGGGGGGGGGGAAGCTACTTGTTGCAATGAAAATACAAAGAAAGAAAAAATATTTAGAAAAGTGGGGGGTGTTTTATATATGGGGGCATCTTATACATGGAAAAATACAATAGTTTAGTAACATCCGAAGAGCCGTACAGTCTACCTTCTTGCCCTAAAGCATACACAACTCAAGGAGCAAAGTGGGCAAAATGTAGCCAGTGGAGCACATACGAGCACCCCGAGCCATTTTTGCCGCTCATCCCCCCCCCCCGTTCCTCTAGGAGAGCTGGCATTCCTGTTTCAAGAAACCAGCAATTTTGCTATCAAACAGGGCATTCCAGAAGCCATTGCAATAATTACAGAAACAGGCAGTTGCTTCCTCTCCCTGCCCTTTTCTTTTCATATTTTCAGGGGCTGGTGTGCTCTGTGATAATTCCTGGAAAAATTGGACCCGGTCCTTCCAAAATAGCCTACTTCAGCCAAACAATTTTGTTGGTCATCCCACCTCTAGAGCAGCTAAGGTGGTGCTTTCTAATGGAGTCAATAAAAGCAATTGTGAGGACATCTACCGTGTGTTCTTGCCTCTCGTCTCTCTTGCTCAAGAGTTTTGTCAACTGTTTAGAGGGCTTCTAGCAATCACAGTGGTGGCGGCTGCTTCTACCTTCTGTCACGCTAGTGGCCAGGAAAGGAGGTCAGCTTTTCCCCATCTTGAAATCACTCAGAGGTCACTGGTCTCTGTGTCCATGTTCATCTGCATGTGTGTGTTGCCTAGGCCTCTTTGCAACTAGAGAAGATTGTGGAATTTAACCCCCCCAGTGTGTTGGAAATAGACCTTACTGGTTCTACTAGCCAAATGTTGTAAACACTCTCAGTGATCCCCTAGTCCTGCCCTGTTCTGTTTTCATGTTCTTCATCGTTTCAGCACTAGTCTGAAAAAGGCCCTGCCTGCATGTAGAACCTACCTGTGAACAGGAAGCATCCAGCGTTGAAGCCCTGAGGATCATCATGATGGAGGGGGTAGGGCTAGGTGCCTCCCACAGGACCAGAGAGTAGAATGTCTTAGACTGAGTTTTAGATCAGTGGTCCCCATCCTTGGGTCTCCAGATGTTCTTGGACTACAACTCCCAGAAGCCTTCACCACCACCTCCACTGGCCAGGATTTCTGGGAGTTGAAGTCCAAGAACATCTGGAGGCCCAAGGTTGGGGACCACTGCTTTCAATGATTCAGGTTCTGGTTTACACTGATCCACGAAACTTGGCGAGGTAGTCATTTCTTTCTCCACTAACTTACCTCCCACGGTCTTTTTTAAAATAAGGGGTAACTCTCATATGTCAGTGCTATCACTTGCTAAAATACTTAAGCCATATTTGGGGGGAATACAATTTTCAAAGTCTGTTGGACATGAATAAATAACATAGTAAGGTCTTCAAATGAGGTGGAATGGTTTGCTCAAAGAGCACTCCACGCACACAAGAGGAAAGGAATGCAACATAAGCTTGTCTCAATCCACTATTGGCAAACCAGATTGCTTTTTATTTTGTAACTGGTCAGTTGGGGGATCGCAGCACTTTGTCGGCACATCTGATGTCTCACACCTACGAATGCTTTGCAATTGTGAAGGGCTAACATTGTTAGAGGACGAAATATGAGTTTACCTTAACAGATGACCAGACCCTGAGTTACATCTCGAGCTGTTCAACTTTTGGAGTTCATGAGGCAATGAAGAGGTGTGTCCTGCAAAATATGGGCTAAATAGTATGGGAGACGCTGGGATGTGGATACAAGCGCCAAAGGGGTTGTCACAGAACTGAGCAGTGTTTAAAGTTAAAAATCCGGGGACCATACCTGAGTAGACAGCTCCAGGTTCAGACCCCAGTATCTTCAGTTAACAGGATCAAATAGCAGGTGACCGAAAGTCGTTCCTCGGCCCCAGAGAACATGTCGCACTACTGGCGGTCAGCATGGGCTCTTCTCAGCTGAGTGGACCCAATTATGTAAGAGAGCTTTCATTCTGCTCATGGAAGACAGCATAACTTGGACAATTTTGGAGCTCAGCTTCCAGATTTCCCCAGTCAGTATGATCACAGGTCTGGGAGCTGAAGTCCAAGAAAAACATTTTCCAGCTCTGACAGCATGAGGGCAGGGGACGCTACCACACCTAAGCCTCTGAGCAACTGAAGTGCCTCACCCTTCGGTAAGGTAAGAGAATAATGGCACAGTTTCCTAGGAATCACTGGGGGGCAGGTACATATGCCAGCAGTGCCAAGATCACAACGGGACAAAACATGGAGAGAGGGAGTGTACACACACACATACACAAATAAAATGGTAGCTATGGCAGGTTGCTAGCAGGCCTCTTTGAAACTGAATTATGTTTTGGAACATAGTTATTAAAAGGGCCGCCAGTCCTTGTGGTGTTATTAACTTCGTTCATAACCATTAGGCTGGCTACTAGATGCCTCATTTGTTAGCCCAGATAATAAGTGCTGTGAAAGTTGTTGACATGATCAAAAGCTTGTGTTAATTCTGGCGATAACTGTTTACTCAAGCAGTTCCTTACACTGATGCTTTACTTTTATTAGCAGGGCTTGCCTGAAGCTCTTTAAGTAACTTGGGAAGGAAAACACACGGACACCACAGACCGAGGCTGCTTTTGTGTCAGTCCCTTCCTGTCAGGAGCCCTCGGAACTGTAGTTCTGCGCAGGGACTGGGTGACAGAAATCTTTCTGAGAGAAAAATATGAGGTTCCCCAGTCAATTCCAGTTTCCAGGACTGCTCGGGTGGAACATGGTTATTAACTTTCCACATAGCCAGGGCTGGTAGCCATGCAGTGTTTCAGCAGTTGCTGGA